ATTACCAATAGCCCCTAAAAAGTCTATCAAGTGCTTTGATTAATAATGAGACTTACTAGACTATTTATAGAGTTTAGAAAGTTATATTCCCACAACAATTAGGTTTTTCAAAGTCAAAATCGCGTAATAATTGAATTTGAGTCAGTTTTCCACGTTAGTAGTACTAAGCGGTTTAACTGGTGCTAGTGTTTTTATAAACCCACCGGTCAACCAGCCTTCGTCACAGGTCGATCGGTACTGATGAGATTTCTTGTTTTCTCAATTTATTGAATATGAAAAACTTGCATAGGGCTTCGGTTTTAATTCATATAACCCAATATAGCAGTCATCTGATTAAAATAGTCATATAATAGTTTTTCCATATTAAATAAAACTAAAAACAATAATTCAATCAACTTATCTTGAATTAATTCAACAATTAATTCAATCAATATAAATTACTCACGAATTAATCACCAATATCATACCTAGCTGTAAACCTATAGCAAAAATAACATAAGTTACAATATGTTGGAAATATATCATATCATTATAGGAAAGTATATGAGCTAGCAAAGGGACTTGATGAACATATATAAATCAAGCTCCTATAATCACGATAGTACTTGTTCACCGACAAGTTAATCACATAATTATAAACTCTAGTGTTATTCCATTAAAAGCCTAGAGCTGCACTTTCAATCTATACAGTATATTTACAAAGCTCCAATTAGCTCTCGTGCATTACTTATTACATTAGTGTATCATTCCCATTAGATATCCATAATCAACTTGAGGTCAAGTTTCAGTTTACCTTTCCGATTTTATTTATCTTATGTTCTATTACTACTCACTCGGAGAAACACCATTCATAACAGTTCAAATAGTAAATCATTAGATAACACAAAGTACTCTAATGACCAAGCACTCGTATTTTCCAATCCACGGATAATTCGGACATCATTGACTTTTTATAAGAGCTATGGAGTCTCTATCTATGAATAATAAATCTACGCATATAAGAGTCATATCTCCAATGTATCGGTATGCGTACTTTTTACATAATAGATTGTCACTCTTTGTACATTAAAATATACAAGTCAAGCATACGAGCTTATTATTCATCTCATGATTAAGATGATCACACATAATTTGTTAAAAGTGAATTATTTTATTCAAATAGAATTATTAATTAAAACAATTCAACTTTGGTCTAATCCAATATAGATTCTACCACTAGGAACTATATTGATGTCTTTACCCATGGAGTCCCCCTCAGATGACCAAGAGAAAACCATTTTCGTCTCCATTAGGAAGTAAACAATATAACAATCTTAAGATGAATAAAACACCCAACTTTACTTCCTCGATTGCGGATCTTATATTTAGACTATCATCTTTAGATTCATGTTTTCTCCATGTTCTTGAAAGGGTAATTAGGCTGGGTGGCGCTTTTTTACCACCTATTTCATAAGTGGCCGATCTTTTTTTATTTTACAAAAATGGCCGTTTGGTTTATATCAGTCAATCATTAATTGACAGATGCACCACAATCAATCAATGTTTGGCTGATGCATTATTAATTTATGAATGTTTTATCATTAATAAATATGTAATTAGTTAATTAAAATTGATTAATTACTAATTATTTTGGCTAATTATTAACTAATGTTAATTATGTTAGCGTTTATGCCCTTAGGAATAAATGTAACAATATTCTTTAAGATATTTTGACTATTAATAAAGATTTATTTATTTCATATATCCATGTATTGTCCTCTTTATGTTCATATTAGTTGAATGTATGATACGCAAACTGAAAGTCTGAGACTGTCATTCTAAATCTTCAGGTCATGCATGTAATGAGAAGAACATGTGGAAGACATGAATCTAAATATGATAGTCTAAATCATATGATCTACAATCAAGGGAATAAAGTTGGGCGCTTTATTCATGTTAACATTGTTATGTTGTCTACTTCCTAACGGAGACGGTTTGTCTTGGTCGTCGGATGTGGGACTCCATGGGTAGAGACATTTATATAGTTTCTAATGGTGAAATCGATATAGGGTCAGACCAAAGTTGAACTATTTTAATTAATAATTCCATTTCAATAAAGCAATTCCCTTTTGACGAATTATATGTTATCATCTTAATCCTGATATAGATAATGAACCCGTATGCTTGACATGTATCCTTTGATGTACCAAAAGGAGACAACCTGACATTATGTAAAAGTACGCTTACCGGTATATTGGGGGTATGACTCATGTATGCGTAGATTCGTTATTCATAGATAGTGAAATTCATAGCTCCTACAAAGAGTCAATGATATCCTCTTATGCATTATATGTGGATTAGAGAATACGAGCGCTTGCCCATTAGACTACTCTGTGTTATCTAATGGCTTACTATTTATAATGGTACGAATAGTGGTTTTCCGATAGTGTGATAATGGAACATAAGATAAATGTAATTGGGAAGGTAAAACGGAACTTGACCTCAAGTCGAATAGTGGTTTTCCGATGGTGTGATAATGGAACATAAGACTATTATATGACTATTTTAATCAAGCAATTTTTCTATTGGGTTGCTTGAATCAAAATTGAGGCTCTATGTAAGTTTTTCGTGTTGGAAAACTAGGAAAACAAGTTTTGCTAGTTCAGACAGGTCGAGTGGTCGGGTAGACTGGTTCATGAAGATAGGTCGACCGGTGAGTTATAACGTCTCTATCACTAGTCAACTGGTTGTAATGTGTAGCGAGTGCTGACGTGGTGAAACTAACTCTGTAAGCGAGATAAACTTTAAGAAACCTAATTGTTATGGAAATATGACTTCCTAAATACTATAAATAGCCTATTAAGTCACATTATTCATTAGATTACTTGAGAGACTTTTTGGAGGCTATTGACAAAAGATTCCTGAGAGGAAAAATTGTTTAATTCTCAAGAATAATTTTTTCTTTGGCTCTCTTGTGGTTGGAAGGAGTTCAAGAATACCAAGAGGAGATTGAATGACGTGTGCCCATCCACACTCCAATCATGGAAACGAGAATAGCAAAGAAGACCAGTTTGTTGAGGCTCTTCCGATTGCGAACGCTTTGATCTGTCAGACGTGCAGTTTTCTAAATCTCAAAAGGTATGATTTATATCTTTATTATTTATGTTATATAGCATCATGACCATGTTCTTGATTGGCTTTGGCATTGATTTAAATTTTTAAAATTCCGCTGCGCACTCGATGTTGTATTATCCAACAATTGGTATTAGCCATGGTTATTTGTTCATGATTATATACATAGATTTGTGATCTAAAAATATCTCATTTATGCTTGAATTGATATTTTAGAGAGATGGCACTCTAGGGTTTCTATATTTTTGTTATCATGAATATATGGTGAATGGATAATTAAATAATTATTATTGATTCTTATTTATAAATTATCAATGTTTTTTGATTGTTTAATTTTTACCGGTTATGGTTCGTTAGAGTTTAGAATAGTTGTATAGGAATTTGTTCTTTGCAATGTAATTAGATATATGGCCTATCATCGCCGTTAGGGTTTATTTTATTTTCTTTAGTAGAAATTTTATAAATCGAAAACGGTATAGGAATTTTCATGTAAAAATTATTGGAGGAGATTTATCATGGATCTTGAAGAAGGATCTTGAAGATGGATCTTGAAGATGAAGGATGTAAAGGTATCTAATTTTTCTTGGTTTATAAAATTATTTTGTGTTTTTGAATAAATTGAAAAACTGTTATGATTTCTGTTTTTTCAGATTTTGGTGACAATTTTTTGAAATTGTTAAAATTCTGAAAAATTTAGAAAATCTGGGTTACTATCGCACAGACACCGGTCGACCTCTTCGGTTAGCCGGTTCATGTAAGGCAGTTGACTGGACCTAACGTGGCAGTGCACAATTTTACAGTTTTTTGAGATTTTTTGATGAAAACATGACAAATAATTTTATGATAACCAGAATTTGATCGTGATGAAGAATTTAAGGACAACCAGGAAGATTCAAGATGAAGGATCGATATATGTTTCGATTATTCTTAGTAATCTTTATTTTTTCTTTTCTCTAGGATGGAACCATAATATTACGGTTATTATTATTATTATGCTTGTTGCCTAGCTTAATTGCTTTGTATGATTGCATATAATATGATTTGTTATATATGTGATAACATATCATGTAGAATAGGGAGTGCCGCTCATTAAAACTGTTAATGCATATTTTTAACATAAAACCTTATTTTCAAAAAGATTGAGTGGGTGAGGGTTTTTGAAGAAAAGACCCATGGTCGTTGGTCCTCATGTAACACATAATGATACCGACCCCTAGGAAGGGATTCATTATGTACCGGTGTGGATCTCCGAGTGGATAATTTATTTGAGCATATTTTATGGTTGTACACCCCTAGGTGACAATTGTAAAATATGGATCAAATGAAATGATGGTTATACACTCAAGACTAATTTAATTATTAATCTCTCTTAGGAGCTCTGTTAGTTAAATTAATGGACAAAGAAAATGATAATCAATATGTACTGTACAGAGATTGATCCGGATGGTATATATTGATCGGAGGGGAACCTTGTTCCCAATTAAATTTGCATGATCTCCCCTAGGAGACTTACAAAATTTTGAGTTGGGAATTATCGTTGTAAGGTTGTAATTTTTTCAAGGTTTTGACACACACACATATTGGTTACATTATAATATGTATATATGTTTGATTACTAAATATTTATGTAAGTTTGCTTATACTAGATATATGAATGCTTATTGTAGATCAAAATGTCTACTAGCGCATTATCATCGATACTTAATAAACACACTTTAACTGGTGAGAACTTTACTGATTGGAAAAGGAACCTAAAGATCGTCCTAACCTTTGAGAAACTAAGTTTCGTACTGAATACACATTGTCCTCTGGAGCCACCTGTTGATGCTCCTAATGAGATTTTGCTAGCATATTAACGCCGAAAGAACTCTGACGATATGGCTCGCTGTTATATGATGGCGAGCATGTCCACTGTGCTTCAAGCACAACATGAAGATTACATAACTGCTCGTCAGATTATGGATAATCTTGAGGACATGTTCGGCAGCCAAGCCGCTGAAAAATGTCGGGAAGTCCTAAGTAATCTCATTAATTGCAGACAGAAGGCTGGGTCTTCCGTAAAGGAACATATGTTGAAGGTGATGGCCTATTTGACTGACGCTCAGTCCAATGGGGCCGACATCGATGCTGAGTCTCAATTGATCATGATCTTTGAGACTTTGTTGAAGGAGTATATTCTGTTTAGGGCAACGATCAATTTGAGCACTAAACAGAATATAACCATGATAGAGTTGATGTAAGAACTCCAAAAGTTCGAGCGGATGATCAAGGGGTCAACTATTGTGGAGGCCAACTTGGTTGAGGCATCCTCCTCCAAACCCTCTCCAGGGAATGGAAATAAGAAGAAAGTAGCCAAAAAGGAGAGTTCTTCAGTTCCGCCAAACAAGGGCAAGAACAAGAAGAAAAAGAAAAAGAAGAACCCGAACAAGCTCAAATGCTTTCATTGCGAGAAGGTGGGGCACATGAAGAAGAATTGCAAGGACTACCTAGCCTTTAAAGGTAAAGGAGGTGAGTGTGATCTTTTGATTGTGGAAGCATGTCTGGTTGAGGAATCCAGTGACAACTGGGTCATAGATTTTAGAGCAACTAATCATGTGTGTGTTTCTTTGCAGGGGTTCAAGCAAACGAAAAGTCTTCTAAATGAGAGCTTCACGTTGAGGATGGGCGATGAAACTCTAGTGTTGGCTGAAGCAGTGGGAGACGTCCATCTTTACTTTGATAGTTATAGGAATTTATTTTTGCGAGACTACTTTTATGTTCCTCAATTTAAGAGGAATCTTATTTCTGTTGCTTGTTTATTTAAGGATTCTTATTCAGTTTCTTTTAATAATAAAGTTGTGATTCATAAAAATAAGTGTTTTGTCTGTGATGGATGGATGCAAAATAATCTATATTTTATCAAACCTAAGACGGACTCACTGCTAAACACTGAAGTTATTAATAACTCTAAAATGCTTAAAACTTCTCACTGTAATGAGACATATCTTTGGCATTTGTGACTTGGTCATATTAGCCTTAACAGGATACATAGGTTGGTAAATGATGGACCTTTAAGTTCTTTAAAGGTTGGGTCCTTACCCCAATGTGAGTCTTGTTTGGAGGGCAAAATGACCAAAAGACCATTTGGGTCTAAGGGCAATAGGGCTAAAGAGGTTCTTGAACTTGTGCATAGTGATGTTTGTGGTCCCATGAACATCAAGGCAAGAGGAGGGTATGAGTATTACGTCACTTTTATCGATGATTACTCAATATATGGTTATGTGTACCTGATGCACCACAAAAGCGAAACTTTTGAGAAATTCAGGGAGTTTCGGGCTGAAGTGGAAAAGCAATCGGGTAAACCCATAAAGGCACTTTGATCCAATCGAGGTGGAGAATACCTCTATGATGAGTTCATTGAATACTTATTAGAGAATGAGATTCTATCCCATTTGACTGCACCTGGCACTCCATAGCAAAATGGTGTAGCTGAGAGAAGAAATAGGACCTTGTTAGACATGGTACGGTCCATGATGAGTTATTCAACATTGCCTATATCTTTCTGGGGATATGCCTTACAAACTACATGTTATCTTCTGAACAATGTGTCAACAAAGTCAGTTCCTAAAACTCCTCATGAGTTGTGGACGGGTAGGAAGACATCCTTGAACCATATTCACATATGGGGATGTCATGCACATGTCCTGGACAAGGAAGCAAACAAGTTGGAAGCACGTTCAAAAGTGTGCATTTTTATAGGTTATCCGAGAGGGAGGAAGAGGGGTTATTTCTATAACCCCAAGGAAAATAAAGTCGTGGTTTCAACAAATGCAACATTCTTTGAGGAAAGTTACATGAACGACTTTAAGCCTCATAGCAAAGTGGTGCTTGAGGAAATGTCGAGTGACTTGGTCATACCGACAGTTCTTTTAGAGACCGATCGAATCAGAGTAGAAACGGAAACCCAACAGCAACCTAAGGGGCTTCGGCGTAGTGGGAGGATCAGACATGAACCTGAGAGATTCATGGCTAACGGGGAAATCTTTTTGGCAGAATCTTTGGAACATGACAGAGATCCTTATACTTACAAAGAAGCTATGGAGGATGTTGATGCAAACCTCTGGACAGAAACCATGAAAGCTAAGATGGAATCTATGGATTTTAATCAAGTCTGGGAACTTGTAGATCCTCCTGCTGGGATTAAAGCCCATTGGGTGTAAATGAGTCTACAAGAGAAAGGGAAATGCAAAAGGGAAAGCCGAAACCTATAAGGCTAGACTGGTAGCTAAGGGATACACGCAAAAGGAGGGAATCGACTACAAGGAAACCTTTTCACCTGTAGCCATGCTTAAGTCCATCCGCATTCTCTTATCCATTGATGCTGCTCTCGACTACAAAATCTGGCAAATGGACGTCAAGACGGCATTCTTGAACGGCCATCTTGAGGAAAATATCTATATGGTACAACCAGAAGGCTTTGGGGCTAAGGATCAAGAGGGAAAAGTTTGCAAGTTGCTGAAATCCATTTATGGATTAAAGCAAGCTTCCCGTTCTTGGAACAAAAGATTTGACCAAGTGGTTAAGACTTTTAGATTCCAACAGACTATGGATGAACCTCGCGTTTATAAGCATATTCAAGATTGGAAAGTAGCTTTTCTATTGTTATATGTTGATGACATTCTACTCATTGGCAATGATGTAGGGGCTTTGTCATCAGTCAAAGTTTGGCTTACCAAACAATTTGATATGAAGGACTTAAGAGAAGCTAATTATGTTCTGGGCATTCGGATCTTAGGAGATCGAAAGAACAAAATGATAGCTCTCTCTTATGCTTCATACATGGATAAAATTCTCGAGAAGTATGTAATGCAGAATTCCAAGAAAGGTGGACAACCATCTAGGTCTGGAATTACTCTTTCGAACAGTGATTGTCCCAAGACATCTGAAGAAAGAGAATACATGGCAAAGGTACCTTATGTTTCGGCGGTTGGAAGCCTCATGTATGCAATGCTTTGCACTCGACCGTATATTTGCCATGTGGTCGGGATTTGTAACACCTCAAGGAATTAAATGAGATTAATTAAGGTAATTAAGATTTATTAGTGTGCCTAATCTGGTTTAATAAATTAATTATTGTTTATTAAATGTTTCTAACGTGTAAATTTAAATAATTCTAAGGTATTTAAATATTTTCAGTAATTACATTTTCACCCCAGAGTGTGTAACACATTTTCTGGACTGTCATTTTAAATATTGGACACCTACCTTTTTCTTTTTCTTTCTTTTTCCTTCTCGTGCACTCATTCCCTCTCTCACTCTCACTCCTCTCTCTCTCTCTCTCTCTCCTGTTTTGTTGTCTCAAATCAACTGGATCTTGAACCAAAGAAGAATTTCAAGAAGTTTTCAACGTCAAGAGAAGGATTTGAGGTAAGATTTCTGAAAAACCTCTCTTGAATCTCAAATTTTTCAGATTTGAAAACCTATTTTGGTTCAAAACGGATTTTCATGGATTTTGAGTAAAATCATGGTAGAAATTTGGGATTTTTGGTTCTTTGGACTGTATTTGTCATTTGGAACCTAGATGGGATGGTTTTCCCTTGAAATATTTCAAATTTGGACTTGAAATTGCAAGTTTTGGCCGGATTTTCTTCGGATCGGCGTTGTCGGTCGAGCTGTCAGGCTCCCACTGGTCGACCTATGCGGTAAACCAGATTGCACTTCATCAGGTCAACCGAATTGCATGCCACCGGTCGACCGGTGGTGTTGCACTACTCTGTCACCAGTCGACCGGTGTACACGGGGTTTGACCTTGTTTTGTTGAAAAACCCTGTTTTGAACTCAATTTTTGAGGAGAACCCAAATTAGTTTCATTTGGGGACCTAAAGTAAATGGATTAGCATCTTTAATCCATGTTTTGAGGTTGAAAAATCCTTGGAATGATGATTTAAAACATGAATTGATTTATGAAACTTGAAATTTGATTAAGGCACACTAATAGGAAATTAAAGGATATAATTGAGATTGAAATTGCTTTAGGAATGAGGATTGAATCCTAAAGTGTTGTTTTGTACCAATGCTAGCTGAGCACTCGGATTGAGGGGCTTTGAGGAAGTGAAAGTCATAATAGTGTAACGCTAGCCAGGTTTGGTACTTGTGAGGTAGGATTTCTTATCTATTTCTTTGTTAGCCTGATTTTAAAAGAGTTTTGGCTTGCAAAAATTTTAAAGAAATGGCATGTTTGCGAAAGAAAAACATTTTCAAAACAATAGCTTGATTTTAGCTATTGGATTATAATGAACTATTTCAGAAAATTTAATGAGTGATTTCTTAAAATAAGAGATCTTGCGAATCAGTAAACTGCCTGATGGCCTAGATAGGATATGAAGAGTGTATCATTGGGGACAGAACCTGAAACCCGGACCGGGCCACTACGGTGGTGTTAAGGCTTATGCTTGTGGTTGTGTAAGTAATTTATCAGAGGATAAATTACTTACTGATGCCTGTAATACGAAAATTTTCATTTTATATTCCTTTCAGAAAAAGGATGTGAGGTTCCGGCTGTTGTGTTGGAACTAAATGTCTACTTTTATTTATTTATTCATCTATTTACTTGTTCATTCATATATTTACTTATTTACAAAGCTTATTTCAAATTACATCCTATTGGGCCTTTCGCTCACATTTTATCTGTTTTATAAATATAAACGCCTCCTAGGCGACGCTAGGAGCAATGCATAGTAGCTGAGATAGTTGCTACCGTCCGATTGGGAGAGGATTGTGTTCATCATCCTTGTGCATAAGTGTAAGAATTGTAAATTCTGTAAACTCTGAACTTTAGATTTCTAGACTGTGGTTGATGTCTGTAATGTTATTTACATGTTCATGTATGCACAATACTGCATATCCTGTGGGTGAAGCCCTAAATGATTTAGAAAGTGCAGGCGACCCCGTAACTTTCTTGTAATTTATTTTCAGCTAAATAGTGGGGCTCGTTTGGAAATTTCTTAAAATATTTTACTTTTAATCCTGATTATTATAATTTCAAATGTTTAATCCCGTTTAACTCCTAAACGAGCCTCCACATCACTAACCCCGGCTTCGGGGCGTGATAGGATTGTAAGTCGATATCAGTCGAATCCAGGACCTAACCACTGGGTAGCGGTCAAGCATATATTCAAGTATCTTCGGAGGAGTAGAAATTATATGCTGGTATATTCCGGGGAGGATTTAACACCTCTAGGATACACAGATTCATATTTTC